GATAATTTTAGCTACAATAGCTACTACGATAGTTTTTAACTGATTTACAATAAAAAACCAACATCGAAAATTACGAAATCATTAATGCCCGGTCAAAGCATTCTCGTATTTCCAACGGGTTTTCCCGATTATTATGGAAACTGGTTGGAAAATCAAAACACTAACCGACCATGCAACAATAAAAGGTCTCATGAGGTTTTTCGATTGAAGCAAAATTTTGGAAAACTAATGAAAGTTCCGTAAATATTTTTCCGTTTCTCCTATAATTTTGTTTCCGGTTTTCCCCAATTATTATAAAATAAAAAAAACGAAAACCCTCGGAAAACAAAAAATAAAATGACCTCCCGAACTCACCAACTAGTTAAAAAACTCAACGAAAAAAAAAATATACAGGTTACTCGATATTTTCCAACGTGATTTTTGGTGGAAAAGTCATTTAGAGCAGACAGAAAAGAAGAAACCCACACGCCACGATCAAATTGAAAATGTCCGTCACTACGCGCGGAGAACCGAAAATGCCCCTTCGATTGTATACGTAGTCCTCGGGGGCCCGCAAGCGCCGCAGACTTCGTGCGCCCGGGCTTCACGCCACTGATATCCATTAGACTATCGCAGTAGGTACGTTATATTATTATCACATAACAGTGGGCCAACATTTTGCGTGGCGTTTGTCGCGCGACCGTTTGCGGCTGTGCGTATACAGGATAATCAATCTATCGCAAGACACTCGTTATCTCGGAAAGTATTTACTTTTTCCGGAATTTGTTTTCTAGAATATTTAAGAAGCGAGCTGCTCTACAATTTTATATCTGTTATTTTTTGTCGCCCTTATTTTTGGGTTGGAGCAGAGCGGTGGTGCATTATATTAAGCCTAGCGCCGTACCGTCACACGAATGATACTCCACCACTTTCCTCCAACCCATACTTAAAAGTGGAATATCTCGTCAACGGATTGACGGGAATCAAAAATGTCAACACCAAAATTTATTTTAACTAATACTTCGTCTATTTATAGACAATTTTTAATATAAGTTGAAAATCAAAAATAGGTAGTGGTTTTACCCCCAATAATAAGGGTGACAAAAAATAACATATATATATATATATATAAAACTGTAGAACAGCTTGTTTCTTAACGATTCTAGAAAATAAATTCCGGAAAAAGTTAATACTTTCCGAGATAATGAGTGCCTTATGATAGATTGATAGCTCTGTATAGGCGAAGCGTTGTGCAGCCTGGTAACGCGCAGGCTCCCGCCAGAGGGGTTTTCCTAATAATCGGGAAAAGCCGAAAGAAAACTATAGGTAAAACGTTAAATCTTTACGGGCGCCGCGGCGTTACCGTTTTTATTGTGTTTCCCTTGAGTTTTCTACCAGAAATATTATTTCATTCGAAAAATGACAAGATATCGATTCTGTTGCTATAAATATTTCGCTACTTACGGAATAAATAGTTTTTCAATATCCAAAGTAGTTCTCCAATTAATTGAGAAAACCCAAAAATGACGAAATATACGGTTTTTTTTTTTTCAAATTACGGTATAACGATTTTATTGCGTAGCTTTTCCGGCTTATGTTGTCTACCATAAATATTGCTCCGGTAGTTGTTTTTTGAAGAGATAATCAAATATATGTTTTGCTTAATTAAAGAATTTTTCGAAATAATGTACTTAAGTTAAAACAATCGACTATAAAGTATGGAATATTAAGAATATCAGGTAAGGTGCTATACTTATAGAAAGGTCTAAATATTAAATTGGGAATGGACCTAATTTATGGGAAATAGAATCAAATATATTAACATGTTGCCACTTTTATAAAAATATGTACGGAACATTATATACGGGGTTTGATCACCCCGTATTTATCGTAAGACACTCATTATCTCGAATAGTATCAACTTTTTTCGAAATTTGTTTTAAAGAACATTTAGGAAACAAACTGTTCTAAAATTTAACATCCACATTATTTTTAGTCACCTTAATTATTGGGGGTGAAACGAATACCTACTTTTGATTTTCAAATGGCAACCTACACTAAAAATTGCATAAACAGATTGAGTAGTAGTTTAAATAAATGTTGGTTTTTAAATTTTTAATTTCCGTCAATCCGTTAACGAGATATTCCACTTTTAAGTTTGGGTCGGAGGAGAGTAGTGGAGCATCATTTCTGTGTGGCAGCACAGCGCGCGGTGTTTTAATAATGTACCACTACTCTTCACCGACCCAAACTTAAAAGTGGAATATCTCGTCTACGGATTGACGGAAATTAAAAATTCAATCACCATCATTTATTTTAACTACTACTCCATCTATTTATAGAACTTTTAGTAAAGGTTGCCATTTGAAAATCAAAAGTAGGTAGTCGTTTCACCTCCAAAAATTAGGACGACAAAAAATAACGTAAATGTAAAATTGCAGAGCTGCTTATTTCTAAAATTGTCTATAAAACAGATTTCGAAAAAAACTAATACTGTCTGAGATAATGAGTGTCTTATGATAGATTGATCACTCTCTATACTTATAATAAATTGGTTATTTTATGATAGTGAAATATGTTTGTGGTTGAAACTGCAAAATGTCATGGATGTAACTCAACATCATTTGCAACAACCTCGCGGCGGTCTATTTACTATTTTCCCAATCCGCCCCTGCTCATCAGTAACTTTACTGATAATTTGTAGGCATAGCATAATGAACTGGATTTCATTTTTACTTTATATATTATTTATTAATTATCTGTTCGTTATTTCCATTTGTGCTTCAATAGTGGTTAGAGAGCCTAGTTCTTTTAACTGCTCCCGGGCCCTTTCCCTTCGAGCTACGCCACTGTCGCTATATCCTATGGTCATTTCACGGCGCTTTATTATTACTTGCGTTACACAATAATAATAACAATATATACAACATATATGTATATTGAAAAAAAAATGGGTTCGCGAACTGAACATGGAACGAAACACATTTGGTTAGTTTTATCATACATAAATTCGGTTACTCGGATACCAAGCAAATATAATGTGTGGCCTCATATGGGGGTACATAATGTGTGCCGTGGTTAGCTTCATCGAATTTTTCCATCGATTGTTTTGCGTGTACCCAACTCGAAATATGCGTCGCTCAAAAATATTGCCGACAATCATACACTCCGCCGGCGACGTAGCTAACAACCAAAACATAACATACCTGCGCCATTCTGTGTGGCCGTTTACGTTGTTGTAACGGAAAACTATTTTTCCCACGTGCAGCGAACACAGCGTGCGTGGCTTTCTGTGTGGCCGCAGACTTAAATCGATTGGAAAATTACTTTAACAATTTGTGCAGCGATATAATATAATAATATACTGTTTTCAGTATAAAATGTTAAAATCTATTTATGGATTCATACACAGTTGAAGTTAAAAGTTAGATTTCTTCAGGCGGTAATCTATTCAACGTTTGTTAGAATCACAACCGGTTTTCAAAAAACATACAACATAAAACCATACAACGTAATATAAAAAAGCTGTCTTGGGATAATGCCGACGAGTGCAGCCACTGTTATTTAATGTATATTAAATGTATATGTAAAGATAAATCATTGGTTACGAAAAAACGATCCTGAGCGGATTTCAGTTATAATTTCAATAGTAATGGTTTATCAACAATATAGATGCCGTATTATAGTAAATCAATTAAATATGCTTTATATATTTTCTTTAATAATATTTGTTTAATGTTGTACCGATTTTCCCATGTTTTTTTTCCGGTTTTTCACATTTACTGGAAAGTCCTAAAAAAAAATCGAAAAATGACCTCTTTAAAGTACCTCCCTAGTAAAATTTTTTTTTAGAGAAATTGCTATTACTATAAGTTGGACTAAAATTGATGGTAGAAAAGTTGTCCACAGAAAAAAAAATCATAATATTAAACAAATATATTTTGTATATTTTCCAGTTTTTTTGGGTTTTTTGTATTGGATGAGAAAACTCTTGGGAAGATGGAAAAATGACCTCTTTAAAGTACTTTCCCACACAAATTTTCTCTCAGAAAATGTACTACACGTAAAAATTAGAGCAAGTTCTCTGGTAGAAAAGTTGGGATCAGAATACACTACCTGTCGTAAGAGGCGACAAATAAGGTGTTAGATCGACACCCGGTATAAAATTCTGCAACACAGTATGATGAGTTTTAAACAAGACTTTAGCACTGTCCCCACAAATGGTGCATGATTTTTTACAGATGACACGTTTTTGATAGGAGAAAATCTGGAATAAGTTAACAATAGATATGAGGAACAGAGAGTAGCACATGAAGGAATAAGACTAAGAATAAGTAGAAGTAAAATTGGAGGAACAGCACAAGACAGCTAGTCACAATAAGCAGTTATGATTATGCAGGTTGAGTTTTAAGTACCTAAGATCTTTTAAACCAAAAAAGGATGGCTTTCAAAATCACGAGAAAAACACAGGATTATATATGGTCGGATAAAGTGGAGAGAAATATCAGGCATTTTGTGTTTCATGTGATAAGGGAATTTCAATGAGACTAAAAGTTCTACAGAAGTGTGGTGAAACAGAATATGTCATATAGTTTGGTGTGTTGGGCCATAAATAGAAGACAATGAAGTGTAGCCAAGATGATAATGCTTAGGTGGATAAGTGAATTTATGAGAGTAGATAGAATAAAGGATGAGAACATAAGAGGTAAATGAAAGAAAATAGACAGAGATGGTTTGAGCATGTCATGGGGTGAAAATTGTAATGATAATAAACACAGGAGGAAATAGGCAGAGAGAAAAACTGATATAAATGATTGAATGCAATAAAGAATGATACAAGGACAGCCAGTGTGTGAGGTGGGATATCTGGTCAATTAGAAGTTTAAAATAAGAGTAGACGACCCCAGTAGCTGGAATGAAAGTGAAGGAGAAGAAGAGTAGGTGTGTTGGTTTCTTCCAATAACTAAATAGCAAATTCCTATACACAAAATAAATAAAACATTTTTTCTTCTAAAATTTTACTCTAGAACATTTATTTATTTATTGTTTGAAAATTTGATCCATTTCATCGGAACACCACTTAACATTAAACAATATTGTACTGCCAGTCATACAAAAATATTTATTATTATTACAATTGGAATAATAAAAAAAAAAATGAATAATAATAAATTTGAAGTTAAACACTTTAAACTTGCATCAGTCTCAAAAATGTCTTTATTTCGGAAACAATGTAAATTGTAGTACATTTCAATAAAGTTTAAGTTAAACTATAAGACCTATTATTTTTATCAAACTAAAAAAATAGTTTAAATTTTCAAAAATTTTGATAGTGTATATAACAACATATTTTTGTTTTACTCTCTTATACAATAGTTCAAGATAAAAATATAAACTAGACTATGATGGAAAAGAAAAATAATAAAATAAATAATCTCACTCAAATAAATCTAAAATAAAATTATTGTAAATTAAATAATGTAAATAAAATATTCTGCAATCAATAATCATAATCATTTAAAAGATTAAAAAATAAATGTTTAATATCTATTAACTTAATAATATTACAATTTATAATTATAAATTGTAATAAAATGTTAATACATAATTTCTGAGTCTTTTAAGATTAATAGACTGTAGTCTATGATAAGGCTCATTAATTACAATATTCTATTGTATATATATATAAAAAAAAAATATTGAAATAAAATATATTAATGTTACCAACCAGTATTAAACAATTACTGATATTTATAGAAATAACAAATATAAAAAAGGAGGAAAAAATAAAAGTGGAAGGAAAACATTTATATATATGTGGATAATATATAATTTTATATTTCTACTTTCTAAACCCGATTGTTCGAACTTGAACTGATCCACACACGATTATCTTTGGCGCTGACATTTTTCTTTTTATTATCTTCTACTTTTTTCCACAAGGTTGCTATCTTACTTGTAACTTCTTTCTTTTGACCAGACGTTCTCACTGAACACCCTGAACTTGTTGCTGATATGTTCGAATTCAGACTAGTGTTACTATTTGTTTTAGCCACTCCACCCATTGTAGGAAGACTACTATTACTACCAGTCCATTGATCACCACTACTTTTCAAACTGTTGTTACTGAGTGAGTTACGAACACCACTGGTACGTGTACTCGTCGATTGTTTATTGTTGGGCGGTTTAACTAGATTCGGTACACTAGTGTGTTTCTTGCCTGATGATCCTGGAGTAGGTATACGTGATTCTTCTTTTACAAATGTACCTTGTCTTTTGAGGGGAGCTGGCTTTTTGGTAGGTGTTGATTGTGAGCTTTTAGAAACAGCAGCAGTTGGCTGAGGACTGCTTCGTGCAACTATTGGTATTCCACTACCACGTGATTTTTTTTTACCTCTGATGGCCTTTACTTCAGAGGGCTTAACAATTCTAGCTGAAGCAATTGGTGTATTATTTGAATCATTATCATCACTGGAATAACCATCTGTACCTTCTGATGTAGTACTTTCATCAACATTGTTTTTAGTATATTCTATTGATGTGAAGTCATTATTTTTTGAACAAGGTTGCACAATATTTGTTAAGTCTAAGTCAGCTAATGTGCGTGTGCGAAACCTATCTTTCTCACTTGATCTTTTAATTTGGAATTTTTCTTTTGGTGACATTTTCTTTATGGCGTCTTCAGAAGACTGTGAATCAGATTCATTTAAAGTTGAAGGTCTAACTTCAGGCTCCATAGAATTTTCTCTACTGTCGTCTGAAGTTATTGTATAAGTGTTATACCTGGAAATACAAACAATTTTAAATAATAAATAGACTACATTAAACAATAGTAATTAATTATTCAACTGATACTGCTGATTGGTGTGCCACTGTTGGAGGTGGGAAGTTAGAAATATAGGATACACAATTATTTAATTTATATATGTATGCAACAATAAAACATTGCTAATTAAATACGATTCTGAGAAAGTTTGGTAATTAATGTTTTGAAATATAGTAACTTTTAAGACTTTCATTAAAATTTGAACTTAATACGATTATGATAAAAAAAAAACCTACACCTCAATTCTTTTTTTTTTTACAAACTAAAACTTATAATGAACCTTGTATTCAATTTTCAAGAATTTTTATTTAGCCAAACAATTTTATCTACACATTAAATCCAATAAAAACTATAAATGCCTATAAATATAGATCAAAATATTGCTAAAACTGAAAATTATACCGTGCCTAGAAAAGGTTATTAGAAGTAGTATTCTGTAAAAAATTTGTCTGTGATTTTTTTTTTTTTTTTTTTTAATCAAATTACAATAAAAAAAAATAGAAAATAATGAAATAATTAATGTTGTATACTTTCCTTTTTACTAAGTATTTTTAAAAATTATTAAGAAAATTACACAAAAAATAAAAAAATGACCTCAAGGTCTAGATCCAAAATGCTACAAAAAAGCAATCACTTATTGATTGGAGCACTAGAATAATTGTTCACTGACAGAAAATATAAAATAAAAAGCAAATATCATGGTAAAAATAATACATTCCTATCTGTGCTAAGATACATTATACAATTATGGTTGTAAGATATGAGATGTGAATGTGCGTTTGTAAATAAAAATTATGGTACAGTAATAACTTTAATTTTAATAATCAACCGTTAATGTCTGAATAACCATAGATAAAACTGAAAAAATACCAGGTGATTCATTTAAGTGGGTACAATCATTATCGCGGAAAATATTAACTTTTTACGAAATTTGTTTTTTAGAACATTTAAGAAACAAGCTGCGCCACAGTTTTATATTTGTATTATTTGTTGGGGTAAAACAACTACCTACTTTTGATTTTCAAATGGCCACCTATATTAAAAATTTGATAAATATATTGAATATTAGTTAAAATAAATTTTAAAGTTGAAATTTTTATTTCCTTCAATTCGTGGACAAGATATTTCACTATTAAGTTTGGATTGAAGGAGAGTAGTGGCGTATCATTAGTGTGGCGGTATGGCACACAGCCATCAAATCAAAAATGTCAACACTAAAATTTAATTTTAGTAATATTCAACATTTGTATGGACTTTTTATTATAGGTTGCCATTTAAAAATCAAAAGTAGATATTTTTTTTTCCCCCAAAAATAAGGATGACAAAAAATAACACAAATATAAAATTGCGGAGCAGTTTGTTTCATAATTTTTCTAAAAAAAAAATTCTGGAAAAAGTTATTACTCTTTGAGATAATCAGTGTGCCCACTTGAATGAATCACCTGGTATATACATATATATATGTTTAATTACCTGTCTTTCTTCATATTTCGTTTTTGTTTAGGTGTTAGTCGGCGTCTTATTTGAGCTGGACTAGAATGATTAGGATCAGAAGACATTTCAGATGAAAGTAAATCATCTACTAAAGTCAAATCATCAACTGCTGTATAATACTGAGCAGCATTTGACTGGTCAACTATTTCTGAACGTATACTTGATATACTGGTTATACTGTTTTCCATCTCAAAATCAGTAACTTCGTCCATGTATGACGGAGGGTTAACATTTTCAATGTTAATACAACTACTCAATGAATCATTGCGTTCATAGGAAGTTTTTCTTTTTTTATCAAAACCACAATTAGATTGCACACTTGTTGTCATAGATAGCAAACTATCCATATCTGAAGGAGGTTTTATTGCGTCAAGATGTGTGTCCTCAAAATCTAATGAAGATATAATACCTACAATAAACATTAAATAATTAATACAAAACAATATACAATATATTTTTAACAATATTACCTATTTCGCCTTTATCCAATTTTATTAATTTTTGTTTAGAATTTTCACCAGTGTTTGCACTTTGGTAAGAGCTTGTAAGAGTAGAAAATGTCAATGTTTCATCATCTTTCCATGTGGATTCATCACTTTCATCTCGTCTATTTATAATTCCATTAACATCCCCTGGAGTAATTGTACTAGTAGATTCACTGATTTCACTTTCTGATTTTGGAATTAAAGACTTTTTAAATTTATTTAACACTGGTATTTCTCTTTTCATACGGGCTGATCCCCTTTCAATGTTTTTTATACCTTGACTAATACAATTATTCAATAAATCTTCATCTTCATTGAGTTCTAATGTATTGTGTGTTTCTTTTGATTTGATTTTTTGTAAGTTTTTCATGCCAGCAGCAATGCATTCATTTAACAAAGCTACTTGTTCACTATCAGACAAGTCATCACTTTTAGTTTTTGATGATTTTTTGCTATTCATTATTCCAGCTGAAATACATGATTCTAACAATTCTTGTTGTTGTTCATCAGTAAGATCACTGTCTGGTTTATTTGATCGTCTTTTAACAGACATTTGTAATTTAGATTTAGCTGAATTATTTATACCTGTAGCTATGCACTGATTCAACAATTTTTGCTGTTCTTCTTCGGGCAATTCTTCGTCAGTTATTTTTAAAGTTGTTATTTTTTCAATACCAGCATTTATACATTGGTTCAGTAAAGCATTATTATCATCATCATCATCATCATCATCATCGTCATCATCTTCAGACATAGGTTCACTGTTTAATGTACGTACATCATGTAAAGAATGAGATTGTGGCATTCTATTATCACATTTACTAGAGTCGTCCAATGAAAATTCACTACCAATAGAATCAGTTGACATTCGGTTGTTAATAACTGTTAAAGGATCTAAAAATAAAACAAACTTTAAAACCTCAAAAAGCCAAATAGATAAATTAATACAATTTAGTTTACCTTCTATTTCAGAAGAGTTAACAGAGTTTGATACATGGGATTCAGTTGAAGGTGAATCCATTACTGATGATCTGAAAATATTAACAAATAAATTAAAAGTTTTTAAGCTTAACCTTAAACTAATAATCAAACCTAGATAAAGATGTGTTTACTGAATTGGGTACAGTACAAGTTTGATTGAATTGAAGATTTAAATTCCCCATAGGTTTACTTGTAGGTTGATATAAACGCCTCTTGCCAACCTAAAATGTGATGTTTATTTAAATTTTATATTTTTAATAACTGGTTGAAGAACCTTTATAATATAACAATAGTGAGTAATAATAAATATTAAATATAAAATGTTTAAAGTTTTTCATTCGTTGTCAATTAATATGAATTTTTTAAATAGGAATTCATTAAAATATACAGTTGTCCTGCAGTATTTGACAAATTTTTCTAGATCTTTTGATATTCAATTTATTTTTTCAATCTGATTTTCTTTGAGGAGAATATCTAACCAAGGAAAATTAAATTTTTTAAATATATTATTGTATTTATTGTAATATATTTTATATTTATATCTGATCAAGAGTTTCTTAGTATAATAATATTCAATATAATAATTTTCAATTTCTAGAAAAAAAATACCGTTGAATATGATTGAGAATAAGTTGATTTATTGTGTTATAAATTGAAAGAAGTGTAAAAAATTAAAACAACTGTTACTAAAAATCTATTAATCTTATATGAATGGTATGATACATCAACATTTTTAGAATAATACATACCTTATAAAAAATTGCTATTTTGAAATTTTTGTTAAAAAAGAATTTATATAGAGTTAATATTTTTTTTTAAGATTTCCCTTCAATGTAAAGCAGATTAAATAAAATAAATTGAATATTAACAGCTTTAGAAAAATCCACCATGTACATTTATTGTTAATTAAATATAACTGGTAATAGTAATTTCATAACTACAATTATTATATTTATGAAGCATAAACATTATAATGTTTACCATTTTAATTGATTGTCGAAGAATAACATTGGTTTCAGAGCCATCTTCTGAAGGAGCAATCATTGATAGATCTGAATGTGAAGTAGCTGTACTTATATTTGCAGGGGTTCCTTCAGTGCAAAATCCAATAATCTCATCTCCCTGAAAAAATAAAAAATAATACAGACATTTTAATAACAAGCCCTAAAAATTATGTTTGTGTAAATAAATGTTTGAACCTCATTATCAATGGTTTTATTTGAAGATATAGTAGACTCAGGACACCTGTCTACTACATGGTTATTGCTCTGTACCATAACTGGAAGCCTAGATCTAAAAAAAAAATAATGTATTAGTAATATTTTACAAAATTATATATTATTATAATTATGTAACTGATTTATGTTTACTTAGCATGAGGTATAAATCCTGGATTTTTATTTTGTAAATAAGGAATCGTTGAAGTGGGAGACTGAAAAATAAAAAGTAATTAATAAATATTTTGTTTATATGTGTAAAATGTAACAAGTGTTAAGTAAACAACATCCGCCACAAATGAACCAGTAAACTGAAGTGAAAGTTAGCTACTGCTCAATAATAACACTAACAATCAATTATGCATGGTTATTGTTGTTCACAGATCACATTCAATCTCTTTTTAACAGTTTTTTTTTCACTTTTATTTGACACATCAATTTTTTTACTTACTTCAAGGAAACCGATTTGATTTAACTGGAAAGATTTAGAAGTTTTATCAATAGATCCATTATTTTTATAATCCAATGCATTCCTAAAAAAAAAAAATACATATATAGCATTTGATTATTAGGTATAGTAGTATATTTTTTAATTTTTTAATATAGCAAAAATTATATTAAATTCAGTTTAATTTTAAAAAATATTATAAACGCACGTGTTATTTTTTTCTTCATTTAATGATGGCAATACACTTTGACTTTGAATGTATTGTAGTTTTACCTAATATTAATAAATTAGTCGTTATTAATCTTATTGTTATTATTTTTTGTATAGATTATTTATGACTTACTCCTGGAATATCATCATCAATAGTTAAACTACTTAAACTTGTACATTCAGAACCTTTTCCGGGAATCTTTTCTTCTTTGAAAATAGTCACACTATCCTCAAAAATATTTCCATCTAAAATAATTAACATACATTTTGATTTATAATAATTTTTATTTTTGCTTTTCCATAAAACTATTGTTCGTATTCTTTATGAATACCTAATCATTGAAACAAGTGGATATAGACCGATTTGTTAGGTAAAAACTATCTTTTGGCAATCATTCTGATCAGTGGATGAAGCAACAAGAATTCTGAAGACATATTTGAATTTTGCATGAAGTCTAGATCAGTAATTAGGCAATTTTTTTAAATTTTGAATTTTTACTATCATAAATGTTTGATTTATGTTAAGAAGTTTGTATTAAGAAGACAAGAATACATAGGCGAAAATAGTTTTTGACATTTGGGGGGCTGTTTGTTGACTTTTTTTGCTCTTATGCTCTTCCTTGCACCTTATGATACATTCCAATATATTATGTGGTGAAATCATTAAATTTTTTTTTTTGAGAGGGGGGAACAATTGCAATTCTATGAGTAAGCCCCCCTATATTTGTATCTAATTTAAAAAAGTAGATCAGTCCAAATATTTTGGCACAATTATAAGTAAAAAAAAAAAAGATATAACGACAAAAATAGTAGCCAAAGAGAATCCAAGCCATAGAACCTATTATGGACTTATGAAGATATAAAATAAGATCATTCTCAAGAGAAATAATCATATACCACTCTGTAACACTGTATGGGTCTGAAAGTTGGACGCTGACGAAATCGGTTGAAAATAAATTCTTGGCACTGAAAAAGAAAATGTTACGAAAGATTTTTTGGGCAATAAAAGATGACGGGATAATGGAGAAAAAAAATGTAATAAAAAGAACTCAGTAGAGACTATCAAAAAGGAAGACTGAGTTTGGCAGGAAGATACAGTTAAAAGAGACATGGAAGCATTAGATTGTTACAGAATGGCTGTAAAATAGGATAATTTGAGTGGCTGGATAAACCTAAAAAAAGAAGATAGTCTATTAAATATTAAATATTAAAATATAATTTAATTTAATTTAAAAATTGTTAATTAATAATTAGATTAAACATTTAATATTAAAAAGTATTGTGCAGTTTTCATTTGGACTTCATACTAAATTTATATCTGTATTTGGAATTCTTATCATTCAATTACATTAATTGGATTGATTGCCAGAAGAATTGTAATTTTATTTGCATAAACTATAAACAGTAGCAATATTAATCAACTTGTAAGTTGGCGTTAGAGAAAAGTGACCCGGCATTACTTCGGCATCTAAGATTTTTGGAACGCAAGCAATGTTTTAAAACTTGACAAAACTACTTAATATTGTCAAAAAAAGCTTTTATTTTGTCTAAATTTACGTTTATCTGTTCACTACAGGTTGTAAAGATAGATCGATGAATTGTGATTTTCACAATATTACATTGATATGTATTGTATTTAATACATGTTTAAATACAAATTTAAAACAATTATATTTATTTTAATAATTTGGAAACACAAAATTATGTAAGTTTTCAAAATGATTTTATTCCGTTATCACCAGAACGTAAATGGCATTACTGGTGTAAGTTGCCAATAATTTAAAAGTAATACCATAAAATGCTATTGATTAACTTATTTAAGGTGCATGAAATAAGGATAAAAAATTAAAGAAGGTTTTAAAATAAAGCTTAACCGATTCCACTATGGTTGAAGAAAAAAAAAATTAAATTCACATAAAATCATTTGAAAAAATTGCTAATACATGAAAAAAAATAATCCTTGAACACGATAAAATCTATTTTGTATTGTATTAGGGGAGTTTTGCAAAAAATATTGCTCAATACCATTTAGAGTTGGTGTTTCGAAAGTGATATTGCTGGATAAACAAGATAAACCAAGCTTTATCCATTCTTTTCAATTGAGTAATTATATTTAACCTCAATTTGAATGGTTGGATAGCTTAAATTAAATGTAAATTAATTGAAAAATAAAGACACATTTATTAAGGCAATAAATTTACCTAAAATTGTCTAAATTATGTTCCATTTTTTACAGCTCAGAAGTTTAGAAAAATTATTATGTAATAAATATTTATTTTCATTTGTAAATCATTTAATTTTAAAATACAACATAAAAATTTGTCCTATTTAAATGCATAAATAAAATAAAATCTCTAGTTAATTAAGTATAAATAAAAATTAGCTAGTAAATACTTTTGAAACATGGAGGACTTGGTGGAACTGTTGGAGTTGGTGAATCAGGAATTTCACTTGGTGTCATTAAACCACTGGTAACACGGCTATATAAATTAAAAAAAAAAAAAAATGTTATAATATTTATAAATACTAATTTTGTTTTTTATAAAAACAATTAAATTCATCAATACCTGCACTCACTAACTGCTGAACTACCAATATAACCCTCTTGTGGCTCACAACTTCCAAGTGAGGCAATAGAACTACTTCTCGAGAACATTAATGGTGTCTCAAATGTCACCATTTTACCTGAAGTTAATAGAATAAATTAATAAATAGTTTCTAGAAATGAATATTTTTTAAAACATTAAATATTTTGAGAACAGATTTTCAATAATATTATTTATTTCTTACCATCTTTTTGTTCATCCTTAGGCTGTCCACCTTCAGGAGTTTCACTACCAGAATTGAGTACATTAGTACCTTGTTCAGAAGGCCCTGTTCCAGATCCATTGCGACTCTAAACAATGAAACCATCCAAATAAAGAGTTTAAATTAATTTAACAAAATAAAGTAAAGATAATGAATATCTAATAAATTTAATCTTAGTATATAAGTAGTATTCAGAGACAATTTCTGGTTCCTATAATTATTTTTTACTGAATTTCATAAAACAAATTTTATTCTGAACATAAAAGAAAGCATTATAATATTGATAGTTTTAACATCATTTTAGATACTTAAAATCTAAAAATGTATATTTTTTTATATCATACCTTGTCTTCTACACCACATTTTCTTAAATCTGTATATGATGCTGCATTAGAAAAATTATAAGGAGTGCCTTCTGTACAATAAGTCTGTGTTGTGTCACCCGTTAATGCTTTTTCACCATTATCATCATCTTCACATAACAAACTATAATTGGTAGCTTCATCCAATGAAGTTTCCGCATACCGATTTGATGTATTTTTATGTTTCTCGTCAAAACTGATATTTTCTTTTGTTTGTTGAATAGAAGCTACATGACAGTCTATAATTGAAGATTCCAATATTTCATTTCCGATTTTAGTTACCAAATTATTTTCATTAATTTTATTAGAATTATATGCTTGAGGCATTTTTGTGAAATTTGGATCTCTAAAAAAAAAAAATGTATTAATAAATTTGAATGCAACTATCACCAGTCAAAAAATAAATAACACGTACATAGCAGCAATTAAATCATCATCATCATCATCATCGTCTGTATCAGTTTTTATTTTTGCAGTAAAATTGTTTAAATGTGAACTGTCAGAATTAGTTAAAGTATTCTCTATTGTGATATCATTATGCTTTGTATCTAAATAAAATTATTAAAGTATAAAATGTTGTTGTTTTATTAACTTATATATCATTGTGTCTTAGTAATTTTGGCATACCTTGAATAGCATTATACGCAGGCATAGCATTCATAAGGTTATTAAGAGCAGCTGATGAACCAGTTGCAATCATCTTATGTTTGGAATGAATTAATGACTTTAACATAGGAACAATTCCCAAATTAATCATTGTGGTTTGATCACGAATATTACGTGCAGATAAATTCCAAATAGTTCCGCACGCATTGCTAACAATTGTTAAACTTGGAGACTGAAGCTGTCGCATTAACATTTCAAGTACCTTATGACGTCTTAAAATATCACTATTAAAGAAATAAATCACTGTACATTTATTGCATATTTGTATTGAATATTATAAATTTAAAAATTAATAATTACCGATATTCTTCATGAGATGCTATAACACATGAAATATTCCTCAATATTCCACCAGAATTTTCTATTATTGTTACTGATTTAAAAGGGCCAGTCCCACTTAATGTTTTTATTAAAAATTCAATTGCTCCTTCAACTTTACATATTTCATCCTAAAATTACCATCAATATTAAATATATGGATATACTTCGCACGTAAGTGAGCCATTGTACGTGAGAAGTTGGGAAGGTAGAGGGCGAATTTAATTTACATCACAATGATTAAGCATTGCTAACAAAAAACGATTCTGAGCCGAGTTCGGTTAATATTGTTGCTTTCTCAACTATAAATACGTAATATTATGGTAAAATAATTACATATGCATTGAACATTTTCTTTAATAATTTATTTAATATTGAACCTATTTTCCTGTTTTTTTTTTTCCATTAATAATGAATACAGATGGGAAAATCAAAAAATTACCTTTTATAAAGTTTTACCCCAATCAGATTTTCATTCAGAAAAAGTGCTACACTTGAAAATCGAAGATTTTTGGAAGAAAAGTTGTTCAGATAAAAGAAAAAAATAAACATCATTGTAAAACCAATATATTCCTTGCTCCGCTCAGAATCTAAAATTTAACTGTTGAAGAAAAACAAATTATTAGGTGTTGTATATTTGTATGTACTTTGTTTTCAGGAGAATGGGCAGAAAAATTCCAAAGTGCGGACAAGAATGATTTCATTGTAGTCTCTTTATTTGCTTTCATTGAGGCTTCCATTAACGCTTTAACTGCACCTATATCACGTAAAATTTCTTTACTTTGTGGATCAGCTCTCCATGATAAATTGCGTAAAACACTTGCAGTGACCTGTACAACATTAAATTAATTAAAGTTTCATTATACAAAAAACATTTTAATGATTAAATATACCTGTCTAAGATCTTCACATTGTATTCGTAACTGCAAAATCAACACTTTTAGAAATTGTTTAAAAGAACATAACAGTGTTTTGGTAGTAGCATCCCCAAATGTTAAATTAGTTAGTGCCATGCCAGCATATCGCCTTAAGGTCACACACTCCGAATTAGGTTCTAGATCTGGTTCACTACCATGAACTTCATGATCTACTTGAATCAATCGAGTAACAGTATAGATTGCACCTTAAAAAGAAAAGAAAATGTTACAAAATTGTAAAATAAAATTACATTTTGTATAGACTTACCCAATACACACATAGCAAATCTATGTTGACTATCAAAAGACAACTTCATTAATGCTGCAATAGCAGTGATAGGATGTTTGCTAATGTCTAATTGTTTAAGCACAACAACTGGTGTATCACAATATTCTCTCATGCTTTCCAATAATTTGTAAACACGAGACTCTCGACGACCTTGTTTTTCATCTTGATTAAAAGTTACTATATTCTTTAATGCTTGGCTAGCATTATGACGAACTACTATATCGGCATTCATATCATGTACAATTTGCACGAGCAAAGGAACACAACCTAAAGACAAAATTAAATAATAATTAAAATTCTTTTTTAAATATTTCAAGTTTATAAAAAAACTCAATAAATATATAAAAAGTACCGGTTTGTCTCATTGCTGCACAACAGTCTGGTGATTTACTCATGGCCAAAAGAACTGAGACTGATTGATACGAAGATTGGATTGAATTGTTATTTTCTAATAATGACAAAAGATTATAAACAATCTCTACTTTGGCTCCTAATTGTTGTTGACTATTAGATCTCATTGATAGACCTTCTTTTTCACACTCTAAAGATGAATTTTGAGATCGTAATAAAGATGAGTTAGATGACATGTTTGTGGGTCCTACACTATGCCACATATTAAACTTTTTGTCAGCCAAGATGCCAGGAGGTGTAGGTAAACAGCCCTTTAAATTAATAATCAACAATAATAAAAATATAAATTCAAAATACTTGTAAATTATTTATATTATTTTTAAACTGATGGATAACTTACATCAGGAGAAATTTTAGCTTCATCTTCTTCTTTATCTTCAGCCATAGCTCTTTTTTCTTTATCCATGTGTTGATCCTACAGTTAAAATAAGCTCATTAATATTACACAACTATTGTAACTCTTATTTGAAATTCAGTAAATTTTCTTTACTCTAACCTCATTAATCATTCTGAGGTAACTGTTATTGTTGTTGTAAGAATGTTTAGCACTGTGTTTATTGTCATAAAATGACTGTGTACCTGACCAATTATTAGCTCGTCTATTGTCTTCGACATTGCATGGTAATGAATATTGATATTGACTATTAGATAAGGAGTGTCTGAAGGAAAACAGAAACATTAAAAATAATTGATCTTGTTTACATGATTCTTAAGTAAATAGTGTGCGATTAATAATTAAAAATTAAAGCTCTACTACACTAAGACTTACTTGCTTATGACATTATTATTTTGGCCATCATTAAAATCTATTTTACCATAACTAAAATTTTCTGAAATATGATTGTTATTATTGTTTTGAACATGATCATTGTCGTTTTTGTTAGAAACATTCCAACGATTTCTAGGAGGATTGGATAGGGATCTCACATGATTTGTAGAAGGTGATGGAGATACATGAGAAGACCGAGATGATGAAGAAGAACGCACAGGAAGTCTAGATTGTCGATTAGAATACATAATTTTAAATATTAAATAATTAAAACTGTATTACAATTTAATGAAGGTGGTTAAAGAAAATGATTCAAACAAGAATATAAAACAATATTTGTTTTACAGACAAATACAGACAAATTGTTTAGATATTTTGCATATAAAAAAGGTTTCTCTATTCTGATCAATATTGTAACTAGGGTGAATTGAAGGGGAGTGGCTATCAGCTGTTTTATGTCAAGTGGAGCTTTTCACCCCCAGAGAGAGACACTTTGCTTTTACTATAAGTCAAAATAATTAAACTGAAGTTATGCATTGATATAAAATTATTCTTTTAAAATGACAATAAAAAAGAATAGTACTGTTTAATATTAATATCATTACTAAAATCAAAGAATTTGAGTTATTTACATTAATAAAAAAAGTTAATACTACTCACAGGTAGGTTGGTAGTTGGGAAGGTAGAATATGCAGAGTAATTTAATTTACAACTGAATGAAACAATATACCATTGTAAATAAAAAAATAATTCTGTTCAAAGTTGTATTGGCAGTATTAGTTGTGTATTTTTACCCTTAGCTAAGGTAACCCAACAAAAATAATAATAAAATAATGAATGTAATATTATTTATTATTAGTGTTTTCTCAATTTTATAAAATAAACTCTTGGGAATTTAGACATTTGTATTCATATAAAGTACCAGAACGAAAATAATGCATCCTTTAATGTAAAATTTGAATAATTAGGAGCCTATTCACAAACAGAAAAAGTATTTTAAAAAAATCAGGAAAAAAGAATCTATGAGGTATACTGATGAAATTTACCACCAGATAAAAAATTCTTAAACAAATTTAATAATATATCTTGAAGTACTACGTGAACATTTTTTATGATCATCAAAAGATTTTAAAATAAAGTATCATTAGGCAAACAGCTGCATCTTATAATGTATGCAATGAAAAATTCTTAACATTTTTACTAATCAAAAAATGTTTTCTGAGCTAAACAAAACACACATACATTATAACAAAATTAAAAACTTCTTTGCTACATACAGGATCAAAAATTAGATAAACTATTTAGTTGTTTGATTATTTTTAATACCATATATATTATTTAATATGAACAATAACAATTTAATAATTTTAAATTTTCAGTTTTCTCTTTCTTCTCTATATGGAAAATCTATTAAATGTTACACTTAAATATATAAATCTAAAACCAAAGAAGATTGTTTTTTAATTATTATAAAATTACAAAATCTAAATGTAACAACCCATTTAAGAGTAACCCTTAATTGTTTTATGTTATATAATATAATAAAGGTTATTAGGGAAGAGATTTATAATTACTTAAAATCCATAAAAATGTACTTATAAAATATTAAATCTCAAAAATCATTGAAGAGTTATAAAAATCTCCTCTAATTTCTTAAATAAAATTGCCAAATGCTACAAAAATGATTAAAAAATTGTTTAAATAAAATTATACGTATTATACAAAAAATTGTATGTGTTAATCATTTTTGAAGTGTTAAAAAGTTTTATTTTATTAGTTAGAGCCATAAGAGGGAGGACTTTTAAAACTACTATTTTTTTTTTTTTTTTTTTAGCCGCGTTTTGTGCTTTTTTAAGTAAATATAAATTCTTTAATTATTAGTTAGAGATGGGACTAATGATTCGCTAGTTTGTTCATTCATCTCACCAAATTGAACTAGTTCATTGAACACAATGAAACTGAGCTACTGAAAAATATATATAAAAATATAGGTACTTCACTGAACGACTGAACGGATAATGGATATAATATTACAAAACATAATTAATACAGTTTCATTTGTATATGTTGAACAAAACATAATTTATTTATAATTATACTTCTACCCCTCCCCGATTTAAAAATCTTAAGTTATAACATAAGGTTTTCAAACAAAATTTGTCTTGTGATAATTAGTTTAGCTGTTTTTAAAACATATGCCTTTTAGTGAGTGAGTCAATTTAATTGCAACCCGAGTCTAGTTTGTTCACAATCTAAACATCTTTAATTGGCTAGGTTATTGATCATTTAAAGATTTAGTTATTACATCATCAATTGTGAATACATATTATTGTTTTTTATTTTATAATATTTGAGAAGCCTATGTTATTTTTAGTGAATAACGATTAAACATACAAATAAAATAAAAATAAATCAAACAAATTTACATATTATAATATCTAAATGACACATTGTTAAACATTCTTACACAAATTTGTCTAATCTATAAATATTGTGCTATACATTTAATTTTTAAACTAACCATCAAGTAAACTTAAACCATACAATTTTTTTTACCTGTTCACTATTAGTTTTATTTTCTAGAGATAGAGTCATTTTTGGAAATACGTTTCTTGATGGCATTCCTTTGTTCAAATCAACTAAATAAGTACATTATAACAATTTTAATTATTTACAATATCTTTGAAAATTAATTTATACTAGTATTTCATTGATAAAAATTACCTGTAGATACAGTTTGAGTCAATAATGGTGTATTTAATTGTCTTTGAAGTTGTCTGGTTTCTTGATTAAGATTACGTACCGTTTCCAACAGCTCTTCATAGCTGGAAACTGGAAGTGTCATATCTCATAACTATAAAATAATATTTTAACTGAAATACAAAAATATTGAAATTTAAAAATGATTTTAATGATAAAATTGTATTATTATGCATTTAAAAGAGAGAGGTAGCTAGTAAATAAAATGTACTATTTCAAGGGCAAGATGATTTCATGGTCTAAAGCTCACTAGTCAATGTTTATATTTTGACCCAATTGAATTTTTAAAACATTAAATAACTTTAAACCTTCAAATTTCAAAAAATAATAATATAAAATACGAAAAAGGAAACTCAAGGTTCAAAAAATATGTCACTAGTCTATAAAAATTCAAATCCATATATGGATAACTATTGCACATGTCAATCATCCAACAAAATTAATAAAACAAACACATAACTAATATATACATATTGTATACATTATTATAATATATTAAACAATTTTGTTTACATTTAAAAATGTTTGGTATTTAAATTTTAGTAATTAAAATGATTATAATATGTTAATATAAGCTTCTGATGATTAAATTGATAATGTAGGTAGATAGAAAGTGGGGTAGAATGTAAAAAGTAATAATTAATATAAGAAAATTATTCAATAAAAATTAGATACTCAATTATATTAACTAGGTCGCATCAATATAATGTATCCTCAAATTTCAACTATATCATCTATACATGAAACATTATAAGGTTCTTAAAATATTTATAAAGTAAAGTATTCTATTATGCCTGTTATAGAATGCCTGCAGGAAAATAGCATTCAGTATAAAAGGACATTGACTTATTGTGGTTAAAATATGAAGTCATTGTTAAAGATGCAAAGAAAATAAAAAATACATTACCAAAGTATTATCAATCTAGCAACCTAATACAGGTAACAGAATATAATAATTGTGAGAAGCATAGTACATAAAATATAGACGCATTGTACAATTTATTACTTCATACATTGGAACCAAAACTAATTGAATCCAGAGAAAAAGTTTAAATACTAGAACAATTTTTTTTAAATAAAAACAAAATTGTAGGGTGTTTTATTTTAGTTATTAAAATTAGTTTTGCCTGATTAATAGCAATTTGAAATGAATTAAAAATTGTTTTATATATTACTAGATATTATTTTACTGTATCTACAACACTAAATATTCTAATAACTATTATAAATATTTTTTATCATTTACCTATTGATAAATACATACAAATTGTAAAATTGCATAATATTATTAGGTAATAAATAAATTTGTTTATTTATACCTTGATTGTTGGTTATTTTTAAATAAGAACGTATTTAGCCACCAAACATGTTCTATGAAATATTGAATGTATTGAATAAAGCAAATTAGATAACTATCTAACATATGATTGCATTAATTGAAATTCATTCAATAAAATTTAAAACAAATATATACACCTACAATATTACATACACCTATAACTTATATAAGTTACACAAATTAAGTAGTTTTTTCAGTTATTTCTAAGAAATTTATAATTTTAAAAAAACATGCATACTTTGTACAATGAGTGGAACACTACTGCAGGGGAGAAATTGGGAAGGTAGGATATATTAGGGAATTTAATTTATACCAGTACTCCCTTATAAACCATTGCTAACGAAATACAATTTGAAATAAAGTTTTTTTTATACATATACGTTTTTTCCCAATTATTATGAAAACCGCTTGGAAATTTAAAAAATACCCCTCGAAAGTACCACCAGATAAACTTCCTTTCAGAAAAGGTACTACATTTGAAAATCGGAGCAAGATTTCTGATAGATAAGTTATTCATAAATTAAAGTATATGCATATTTTATCATAAACAGTGTTCAGACATAAACCAATTATTTCTTATACATAATCAATAATATTTTACTATTAATTATGGTTCAAATAATAAATTCAAATTCCAAAAACTTATAATACATGCCTCAACAAATATTTTCTAGGTTCAAATTATCTATATTCTTTTCAAGCTTAAGTATCAATTTACATTTTTCATCATTTAAGTAGGTAATTAAGGTATATCATTACAATTAAGTTTCTATTTTAAAACGAAGCTTGTCACCAGGGTAATAGACGAGTAATTTGGCAAGTGATATTATAATCAAATGTTTATAGTTCAGTTTATAGTAAACATAGTGCATACCACAGAACATACCATTAATATTTAAAGTTGTTATACATATGTAAATTTAATAAAAATAATAACATTTTATTATTTTTTTTTTTTCAAATAGGGACCTAATATTTTTAGTTGTTTCTAAGTTTATTCATATATATAAATGTGATGTTTTTTATTATTAAATATCGTATTATTTATATAGACATGCAAATATAATGGCTGCCATATTAATTTACATATCATATTTAACTAGATGTCAACACGTACAATACTTATACAGATTAATTTATAAGTTTATTTCATTTTTTACAACCAGGATATACAATGCATAAAAATAAGTAAAAGATTGTTTATGTTTGGTTGGTAATTATTTTCAATAAATCTAAAGCAAGTACACAGAATAAATAGTGTAATAACTAGATTTCAATTATTAATGTATGAAAGGATAAAAAACAACTGTAATGATCGAAATGTCTCAAACAAAATCAAATTGTCTCTGGGAATATTGTTCTTTTTAAAGTCTGAATGTTTTGGTTTTACTTTGATATGTGTATAATTATACAAAAACTATAAACTATTAACTATACTTTACTATAACTATTAACTTTAATAGGTACCAGAAATCTTGTTCCAATCAAAAAATGATAAGAAAGCAGCTAGCTGGAGTGAGACGTCATTTTTTGATTTTCCAAGTAGTTTTCATAATAATTAGGAAATACCAGGGAAAAAATTGACAAATTTATGACCAAAAAGTTTCATTTTTTTTTATTTATTTTTCTACAAGAATTTTGATTTGAATTTCAAGAACATTTGAAAAAATAAGTTACGGGTTAGAAAGTTGATTTTTGATTTTCCTTGTAGTTTTCTGAATTATTAGAAAAAGCTGGAATAAAACTGACAAATTTACAGGATTAAAAGTTTCGTTATTTTTGAATTTTTTTTCTATAATTTGTTTAAAAATAATCACAAAGACCTGAAATTTCCAAGAATATTAGTCTTTTCTATAAGTGGTAGAATTTTCAAAATATCCTGTCGATTTTTGAGCTATATTTATAGACATTTGACATCTTCGGTTTTTATTTAATTTTAAGTACTCATACTGATGCATACTATTCTACCTAAAACATAATATCTAATAATTATGTGTTTCAAAAAAAAAAGCAGTTTAGAAAAACTAATAAGTACCTACATGGCTACAACGTTATCAACCACAAAATAGTTTAATATAAATAACTACGTGGGAACCTAAATAATATGTTAGGTTTCGCTTAATCTTTTAAACAGTTCAAATAACCTACAGTTATTAATTTAAAATCACATATCTAATCCAATATCACATAATAATAAAGCATGTACTTAAATAAAAATGTCAAATTTTTAAAACGGTAATTGGTTTTCATAGTTGTACACTAAATAATTATATTCCATTAATGACTAATTATATGAATTGTGTCGCTTAATCATTATTATTGTATGCATTTTATTAATTATTAACTGTTTAGGACAATTTAAAAAAATTATGTTTACTTAATATGTCCAACCTCAATTTCTTTAATTACCAATTTACTATAATTATTGTGTTCCATTAATTTATAGAATTAAAATATACCATAAATATAATATAAAACTTTACAAGAATATGTACTCATAGAAAAATATTAAACCAATTTGAACCATTCAAAATGTCAATTTGCAATTATAAAATTTAAAAAAAAAAAAGTAGTGAACAGGTACTTACCTAATAATTATAAATAATGCCCAGTAATAAATCAATCAGTAAAAATAAAATTAACGAATGAAAATAATTAAAATTTTCCAAACCATTGAATAAATATAATATATTTGGCAAGTAAGCTACAAACGATTTTGTAGATAATATAAACATTTAGATGTGAAATTGAAACCTTTAATTAATCTAAATTTTAATAATAAAAATACCTAAATGGGTGGGTAGTTTAAAAAAAGAAAAGAAAATTACTGGGAATACAGATGTATGTAATAACAATAATTACTAAACATCAATTCATTTTAGATTTAAGTAAAATTATTATTATAAAAAAATAAGTAATAAGTACACTGACTGTAAGTATCATGACTAGGTAGGTACCTAAAATATAATACCATTTGGCATAGATACCTAGAGTAGACTTAACAATAAAATAATAGTATACCTAGTAAGCACACTCGTCGAACAATAAAACCTATAATACCTATAGATAAAAAAATACAATTTTAATAAGTATTTACATAATATGTTTTTTCGTTATTGTTCAAAGTTCGTAAAAGTAGACGATACATTTTCGAGTTATTGTTGTGCACGGTGGGTACAACAAGTCATCGAGACTAGAAAAGTCTGAATGTCACAACTCGCGAGAAGTGTAAACAATACGATTATTGAATAACGTTTGTAAAAATATAATGTACAAACATTTACAATATATTACAACAAAAAAATTAAAAAAAAAAAAAAAAAAAACCGACGATAATAATTACCTGCTCGAGGAAATCTGGAGTTTTGGAGCCGAGAAATGTACTATCCATTAAAAAATGACGCCGAGAGAAAGCCGCGAGGAAACAACGTTAATTATGGCAATGATTATTATAGTCTGAGCATAATTGTCGACGAGGAACCGAAGAGAGATGACTAAAAACTAAACGAGCGCCTAACAAATACGATCCGTGAACCGCGTCGAGAACAGCTCGGCTAATGTGTACGCCGCCGATTAGGCACTGAATATTTGTGATGCTCGCGTGTGTTGACAACAGTTATGTTGGTAATAAAATTCCACTTTATTTTGATTTTGGCCGAGACGAGCCGGATCCGAATGGGTATAATAATGTTCTAAGATCCGTGCGTTTGGCGAACGATCAGAGCACGTTCATGTCAAATTAGTTGTGCTCGAACCGACGGGTTTCGATTTTGAAATTTAAATTCGGCGGACTAGACCACTGCTGTAGACCGTGGACATTTGAAATGTTTTGATATTTACAATTATACCATTCGTACGTAACATTATTTTCTCATATTATTTTCATTCAATTCGCGCGTAACCTTGGTCAAGCCTGACGCATTATCATAACCATTGCCGACAGCCACGCCAGCTGACCGGCCATCACGCGTTTCGATTAATATTCAAGTCACCTCAAGTGATAGTAGCGACGAGGTCCACGGCGACACCCGGTACGCACGTTGACCGTTTAATTTTCGTATTTACATTATGTGGAAAACATTAAAGAAAACAATGTGAGATGTTAATCAGACCGCTCACAGTATAATACGCTGTTATTAAACTCGTAAGTATTATTGAATTGTATGTCACATGACGACTATTTACCGAATAATTAACTATAACGCTTATTATTCATTCGTTTTTATTGTTTAATTACAATGGTTACGACATTTACGATTTAGATGCAAAACAGAATTCAATAATCAATCCCGGAACAATGTCGAATGAAACGCGTTATCTTCCTGCATGGATGACAGACTCGGTAAAAGCGATTTATTCGTTCCTTTCGTAATTCCACAAAAGCGAATTTTAAGTTTCTATATACTACCCATTTGCAAAATCCTTGTACACGCTTTTTGATTTTCAGTAGTCTACAATTTTTTTTATTACCAACAAATAAATCGATACAACAGTAATCTAATTATCGAAATTTGTTATCGCAGTGGTTTTACACATTACAATCATTGCATAATACAATTTGATTTCCATAAGAAATCGTTTTCATACTTTGTATTAATTTACTAATATTATTAAACGTACAACGGCATTAAATTACTTTTTTTTTTTTACACCTGATATATTTTGTTACTATAGTACTGTAAACAAGTACAAAAACCAGAAGAATTCATCAAGTTTAATGGGCATATTAAAACGTGTACCTTTTCTAATGAATTAGCCTCATATGCTGAAGAAATTTTGTAAGTTACACGTTCTAACTTATAGAATACCAATTATTTGTCTTTCACATTTGATATTTCATCCATTTCATCATTTAGAGCCAAGATTGATTCTAGCAAATGTTCTGAAATTGTTTATGGTTTTGATATGGAATGGCCTGTAACATTTAATGGAAAATCAAGAAAAACTGCTCTTATACAAATTTGTACTGACCATTCCACATGTTATTTATTCCATGTACGTTTTTTTTTTTTAAATTCATTTGTTTATGAATTATATGATGCGATTGTTTAAATTTATCTGACTTAGGTATTTTATATCATAAAACTTCCTTCAATATTTGTTCAGCTCATTAATCATCCAAAAGTTAGATGGTCAGGTGTACATATTAAAAAGTAATTTTTGTTTTTTCTTGTATTTTTTCTTTAATAATTATAATGATTTGTATTTAATTGTTTTATAGTGATTTTACAAAGCTCAGTAAAAATTTCAATATTGATGTTAGTGGAGCTTTAAGAAATATTATTGATTTGAGTGCTTATGCCAACAAAGTTTTGAATTTTGATCCATGTACTTGTTGGAGTATGGCTACTTTGGTTCAAAAATTAGTAAGTTTATTTATTGACAATCAATTTTAATGTAGTTACCTAGGTATATAATATGTTAATAATTCTTTCATAGCTGAAGAAGAATGTAAATAAAGATAACAATATCCGTTTGGGACATTGGGAAAGAACAAATTTAGACTACAATCAATGTTTGTATGCAGCAACTGACGCCTATGTAAGCATAAATTTATTTGAATACTAAATTATAATTGAAAATTATTTAATAATTTACATGGCTGCAAATGGTTTATTAAAAATAGTAAAATAGATTAGAAATCAATCTAGAAATTTACTCGAGTAATCCCATGTAAAAATTTGACAAACTGGTTTACTGTTACTTTTTTTTAAATTGACATTAAAGATGGTTAGTAGTAACCGATCCTGGTTTGTTCCCACCATAAACCTGATATTTTTTCCTAATTTGATTTATTAATTTCTTACCACATTTTACTACACAATCAATAATTTTCAAGTACAACTAATCTTCATTGCTTCTATTATTATTGTGTCCAAGGTACAATTATTTTAACAAAAAACTTTTTCTATGATGATACAATATTACAGTAACATTTAAATAGGTGATACAGAAATTAAGATAAAAGTGAAAACAAACCAATTCAAGAATTTCTCATAAAGTTGGTTTAAAATGTTTTGCACCTTAATGATAAATGGTAATCAAATAAATCAACCATTTTACTGTAGCAAATTTCTTGAATATATCATTGATATTAAAATGTATGACTTGTATATTTCTAAGTATAAGACTTCTAAAGTTTTTTTTCGTTAAATAATTATAGTAAATAAATATAACTTTATAATTCATATTAACTTTGTATAAACTATAGAGTTAAGACTGGTAATTATTACCTATTTGGTTGTCTTATAAATTTAGAATAAATATATTTATTTGGTATTATTAAATTTTTTAAAAAAATTTGATTTTAGATATCCTTAATACTCTACGAACATTTAAGAAAATTTGATACAGACCAAAATGAATTCCAGGCTAGTAAAATTAATAAAATTAGGACAAATGCGTTACGATCCATGTCTTAAATTACAAAACCATTTATCAGAAACATTAAAAACAACAGCAATTAATGAATGTGGTTACCTCATTATTGTGGAACACGAACCAGTGTACACTATTGGTATCAGGCAACGAGACTATGATATTCTTTTGGAAAATAATTTAGTTAAATTGGGCGCAGAGTTTAAACGCACCAACCGTGGAGGTCTCATAACTTTTCATGGACCCGGGCAGCTGATCGCTTATCCAATTTTAAATCTAAAATATTTTCAACCTAGTGTACGTTGGTATGTTACAAATCTAGAAACAACTATTGTAAACCTCTGCAACAAAACATATGGTCTCAACGCAAATACTACTCCTGATACGGGAGTCTGGATCGGTAATAATAAAATATGTGCTGTTGGCATCAGGTGTAGCCGATATGTTACTACACACGGAATCGCCCTAAACTGCAATACTGACTTATCTTGGTTCAAACATATTATACCTTGTGGCTTACACAACAAAGGAGTTACTTCTCTGAGTTCAATTTTAAAAAAAGATATTTCCATCAATGATGTCTTACCAAATTTCCTAATACATTTTAGTAAATCTTTTTCTTGTGAAATTGTAAATTCTGAACTTGATGAAATAAAATAATTCATTGGTTCATTAATATTTTTAATGTTAAAAATTTATTGTAATTTAACTGAACTAAAATCATTTATTTTGTGTATAATAAGCTTAAATTTATTTCTGTTATTTGTTTTATGTATTTCTACTAAGTAATATTTATTAAATTACAATTTAAATAGTTAATATGCATAAAAATAATAATAATGTTATACTCAATTTGTTAATCAACTATTTTACTTAAAATATTTAATAAACAGTTGTACTAAATTGTAACTTGTTGTTTATTTACATTATGTTTGTAAATTTTAGTGACTTGCGTCATTACGAATGATCACAATTTGTTTTTACTATATTTGGTGAAAATGTTAAAGTGTTTAATGATGAATTAATAATTCATTTTTTTCTTGAATTTTAAATATTAAACTAGTTTTATTGTTAAACAATGAACGTTTATTTTTTTACGATTTTAGTAAAATGCAAATGGGTGGAATTATAATGAATAAATTGTGATAATTTTTACATTGAAATGATGAATATAATTTGATCTCATGACTTAAAATTAGTGATTTATGTAATTATTTTATTATTTATTATTATTATAACAAAGTAATGATGCACAAAGTTCAGCGGTTGTAATAAAAATGTTTTAAAAAATTATATCAACAGGTTAATATATAAAATTGGTTTATTAATTGTAATAAGCATGTAATTACATAATAAATAAAATTAAAATGTTTAAAAAAATTAAATAAATACCGTTAAGTTTATTATTAGATAATTAAAATTGCGCTGGTATTTTTGGTAAACCAAATTCATCTACGGCTATTTCACCTGGTTTACTAGGTTCCTTTTCTTTTTGTCCAGGTTCTTTGTCTGGAACATTAACTTGATCCAGGTACGACGTATCATCATCTAAAGCTAATTCATCGCCTATTGCTTCAAGTTCTGCATTTAGTTCATCTTCATCGATATCAGGAACTCCGTATGTTCGACCTAAAGCTTCTTGTACTTCATTAGATTGATCCAACATATCAGCCATTTCATCTTGGAGATCCTAAATAAAAATCATATAATTAAATAATTGTTCACTTTATAGTCAATTTTGTATTATGTCTTCTTTAATTAAAATATAATACAATATTTTTATGGTTAACTATAGATTTAACTATAACTTCAGTCACAAAATAATTTATTTATAATAGTTAATTACTTAATACTATGTAGTATTAATTTTTTTGTTTTTGATTTACCTCAATATCATCTATATTAATATTTTTAAATTCTTTCTTCATTTGCTTCATGCCAGTTTTCATTGCAACTACTGTAGATTGAGTATCTTTCAATGATTGAACTGCATAAGTTGCTTGTTCCATATTGAAAGATTGATTTCTTAAATTCTCAGCTTGACTCTCGTATCTATAAATGTTTATTATTAAAATATTTGTTAAAAATGTATTGTACAGGCAGAAACAATTAGTAATATTGAAATTTATTTAATACGTTATATTAATTTTCTGAGTTCATCCTTAGCTTCATTTATATATATATATATATATATATATTTATACATATATATATATATACATATTTAAAAATGAAGAAGATGGCTATGAAATAAGGTCAAACAGAGAACTGTAAACCTTATTTAATGAGCCCGACATAGCTGCCACACTCAGAAGCCAGAGAATAAGATAGGCATGTCTGGAGAGCAGAAGACCAATTGATACTGACCATCACGAAATGGAGACCTAATAAAATTTGACCAAGAGGAAGGTTTAGGCAACGATGGGAAGACCGAGTCAAGGCTGATCTCGGGATGTTGGGAATAACAAACGGAGAAGAATTGGCGAAAAACAGATAAACATGGAGGGAGTTAGTGGAAGCGATAATGGGCCAAAACGGCCAAGAATAAGCTGATAATAAAAATAATACATATCTACATAGATATATAGAAACTTTCTTCTGAAATAAAAAAAAAATCAACTACACTGCAAAAACAAATGAATATACTAATAAAATAATTTAACCAATTATATTTAAGATACAGGTATCTTACAAAAGTATAATTTTAAATGGCTAGTAAATTAATATGAGCTATTAAATGGATCATTTAGATTTTTGGTAGATAAATTCATATTGCTTACTGTTTCCTTTGTTTCAAAATTCTCAAAGCTTTTTGTTTCAATGAATTCTTTGCTGGGCCTTCTCTCATTTTGGCCATTTGGTCTTTCAATTTTTTTAACTCTTTTTCTAATCTGTTTATTTTTTGTTCCACTGATTCGGCTCGTTCGTCTACCTTTGAACGACAAGAAAACAGTTGTACCCTTCAAATACAAAATTTAAAATTTATAATTGTATTTACCCCTTTTATAACAGTAGACATATCCGGAGGGGGAGCCTTATCTTTGGTTTTTCCAAATATACGATTCATTTCTGTGGCTTAAAGTATTTTAATAATAGTTATGTATATAGATTTATACTGGATTGAGTTCAAAATTAAAACTGGTTTAACTAGATAATCGAAAAACTAAATTAAATTCACATTTATTTAACAACAGATATCAAATTAGTAAAATAAGAAAGATTTTTTGTTATCTACATAAATAATACATTATTATCTATGGTTATTTCCAAGATAGACTCAAAGTTCTGATAATAAAATATTTGATAAGTGTTTATAATACCGTGCACGAACACTAGAGCACTCTAGAGTCCATAATATACCGTGGTTATTGCTGATCTCACCACCAATCAAAGAACACGTATGCAATATCAATGACGACATGACGTCGCGATTTGATTTTGTTCACAAATTATTATCAGTAGCGTTACAATTATCTCACCTAGTCAATTTCAAATAGAAAAGGCTTATTGCTATATGTGGGCAGTTTAAATGTTTGACATTGTAACAGCGATTAATTCACAACAAACAAAATGATACCGTCGAACAAGTATTCATTAACTGTAATTTTATTTTATTCGTACTTTATCTATTTGGTAAATTCTATTGAATTGACTTTTGAGCTCCAAGATAAATCAAAAGATTGTTACTATGAAAACATAGAGAAAAATACGTCAACTACATTAGAATACCAGGTATATAATTGGAGTTATGTGATCAATTAATGCATTTTGCTAAACGATCTAATTGTATCAATTTTTATTTCAGGTTGTAACTGGTGGCCAATATGATGTAGATGTGATAATAGAGTCACCGACTAAAGAAATCCTTTATAGACAAGTGAAATCACAATTTGATAGTCATACATTTGTAGCACCAGTTAGTGGCCCATATGCCATATGTTTTAGCAACGAATTTTCAACTTACTCACACAAACTTGTATACATGGATTTACAAGTTGGTGAGGAAGAACCTTTACCTGGTATTGGAGAACAAGTTACTGTTATGACTCAGGTAAATCATTTATCCACTGCTCTTCTTGACATTCTATAATTTAAATTAATTTATATATTTTGATTTTAGATGGAATCAACATCACAAGATATTCATGAAAGTCTAAACAAAATTATTGATTATCAAACTCATCATAGATTAAAAGAAGCCAAGAGTCGTAAACGTGCTGAAGATCTCAACCACCATGTTACATTATGGTCTGCTGCTGAAACTGTTGCTATATTATTAGTAGCCATTGGGCAAGTATTTTTTTTAAAACGATTCTTTGAAACAAAAACACCTTCACAAATGCAATATAGAGCAATGTATTAAATTGAGTTTAAAAACGTATATTATAACTACCATTATAAAAATTATATTTATTGTATTTCTCTGCATACTCTGTTGGAATATGTTTACTTGAGACTAATTATTTGAAATATATTGTTTGTGTTAGTTTTTTTTTTCTAGTTCAGGATTTTACAAAATGTATTAATTATCATGTAAATATAAGTTAAATGAATAATGAGTGATAATATTAAAATGCAAATAATTCACTATAATAGTCTACATAAACTCATAAAAGTGATTAAGTTAATCTGCCTAATTGTTCATTAAATTTGAATAACGATAATATTATAAATACTCCTTTATGTCGTGTTGTGTTAACAAACCCAGTTACCCATCATTAATCGTATAGCATTTGTATATCAATAAAAATTTGATTATTGTTTAATTTAATTTAATCATGTATTTTATAGTTTATGAAATCTTCTTAAGCTATTTATCAGAGGTGGGCAGTACCTTAATTACTTTTATATCTTGTATCTTTGATCATTATTTTTGGTAGTGTGTGAATAGATACAAATAAAGATACATTTTGAATACAATTTATTCAAATTAATTTTAAATTTTTATTGACATTTTCTAAAAACCATTATAATATATTTTGGTATTTTGTTGAAAAGAAATAATATTGAAATCATTTACATTTTATATTTTAAATTAAGATCAGTGATTCTCAATCAAGTATCACATTGTTGATAATATTAAGTACTTAATATTTTCCATATTTTTAAAATTATACAAAATAAAATAATCCTAATTTTTTTTTTTTACAATAATAATTTGATTACTCATCAATTATGACTTTATAAAATCAATAATTAATATGATATAATAGTGTATTAATACTTTAATACTTATATTTAAAGGTTAAAAAAAATATAGGTATCTTATATCTGGTAGGTATCCTAAATATCTAATATTTTTAAGTATCTTGCCTATCCCTACTTATATAATGGTCATTTCAACTGTATAAATATTAAAAATCACAATATTTTTTTTAAACTTCATAATCAGCCACATTATTTTAATTTAATTATAAATGTTCCTGATGTAGTTTGATATATTATAATAACTTATACATATTATATTTAAATAAAATATCATTCACTCTTATTATGTTTACGGTTTTATTATTTTTTATTATAAACTAGTTGTGTTATGATGTTGCCCATTTTAAATGAATTTACTGTGGTATCTGTGTAACCAAAGCCGGGTAAAGGTGGGACAATGGGTACCTTTGCCCTTTAGCAAACAAATGTGTAGTAATAATAAGTAAGAAGTGTTGTAGCCAGAGGGAGACTGGAGGCATGCCCCCCAAACATCTTTTCTTCTTTATAATGCTGTAGTGCAATTTACATAAATTTGTTATATTAATAAAATACATTATTAGTAATACTATTATAAGTATTAAATACATATATATATATATTTTATATTATTATATGTATAAGTTACGTATATTTATGAGTGGCCAACTCCCTATCAACTTAAATAATCAACTTTAATATTAAATGAATTACTAAACAATTTAATTTCTGGATAATTGTGTAAAAGAATAGAACGTTGCACAAAAAAATAATATGTTTTTATTACCATATCTGTGTTTTAAATGCAGAAAGGGGACATGTTCAACAATTTAAAATGGCTACCAATGTTCATGTTCAATTTTTAAAAATATTGAGATGATTAATTTTTAAAATTGTTCATTTGTACGCCTAGCTGCTTCTCAATGTTGCCTAGAAAGTTTTTTGTGCCTTCTATAAAATTAAGTTTTAGGAACATGTCTTCTTTCTGCAATTTGTGATTCATGTATTCTCTTATAAGACTGCAAACTATGTTTTAATTTTAAGTTGTAAAACTAAGGAGGTAAAAATAATAAATGATAAAGAAAAAAAGGAGTCATAAAAGAATAGGTGATTATTATTCTAGCTTAACATTTAACAACATTTAACATTTTTTTAAAATAGATATTTTTGGAAAAGTATGTATTATAATGTCTGAAGTATAAAAAAAAAAATTAGTGATTATATGGGTATCCCATAAGGGGATTAATTTCAATATCTTCCTACTCATAGCTTTTGATTCTGAGCGGAGCTAGGAATTTATTTGTTTTACAATAATGGTTTTTTTTTTCTTTCTTTATCTGTGAACAACTTTTGACCAAAAATTTTGCTCAGATTTTCAAGTATAGCACTTTTTCTAGTATTTTCTAACATTGGTATTTCTAGAGAAGTCATTTTTTGATTTTCCCAGAGGTTTTTATAATAAATGAGAAAAACAGAAAAATGTACGAAATATATTATTTTTAAATATTTATTATTTTATTGCGTAATCTAGGAAATTCTATTATGTTTAAAAACAAAAAAATTGAAAAATTTGACTTGTGACTAGCAACGATAGTATTGACTGAAGGACTGTATTTGGACTAATTGACTGGAAAAACCGAACAATTCTGGTAATATTTTAAATTTACTAAATTTATATTAAAAGTCGTATCATAGATTAAATATACCATGAATGTTTAATGGATGGTCGTATTATGTACAAATATTATATGATACCTATACTCGTATATTATACAAATATACAATAAAACGAAAAAAATTACCGGAAAATGCTCTAGAAATGAAAAATGTAAAAAATGCAAAAAGTTTCACCTTTGTAGTCTCTGTTACGTGAATCAAATTTTTTACTTGGAAAGCATTGTGTAATACGCTCAAAAAAAGATACATTTTGCATTGAAATCCGGGCCCTACTCATATTGAACCAGCTGCTGAATGTTCAAGAATTTCTGTTTCTTTAAACAATTATATGCATATTCCACATAGAGTAGACACGTACTGAATAAAAACTATATCAAAAGCTCGCACATATAAAAGCCTATAAATAGCTAAAAAAAAATCGTGGATATATTTTGAAAATGTTACTACATCTATGCCCGGTTACACAAAACTCGTTATCTATTGATAAATTTAGTATTAAATATTTATATATATTGATAAATTAACGGTTTATTAAAGTTTTATCATGTGTTAAATTTATAAGCGTTGCTCAATCATTTTTTCACATTCAGGTCATTTCCAGAATACTTGTTATCAAATAAATAGTTCCACTGTTATCTTTGTTTATGAGTTTAATTAATTGATAAGTTGACAATGGACAGCAACAATATGCTCAAGAAAAATGGAGGAAAAAATTTAGTGAAGACGAAAAGAAACTTTTAATGGACTTAATTGGTTAATTCAGAAATATATAATAATATAATATTTGCAACCGGGCATTAATATTATCTAATGTTTTTTATTATCACCACAATAACGCAAAGCATTGATAACGAAATTTAACTATAGATAAATATTTACACCGCCGATAAATGGGCCTGTAATTTAACTCTTGATAAAGTACATTTTCACCAACACATAATATTTAAAACGTGGTTTATGTAGCAGATTTTAGTTTAACTACAGATAAACGAGTTTATCTCTGTGTAAATAGTTAATGCAACCCGACACTAGAATGCAAAATCTAGCGAATTCATCTAAATGAATCGGCGTACTTTTTTTTTTCTGAATGGGATAACGTACAGGTGCTGCTGGCGCAAAAAATTGAAACCTTCCCCAGAGGCGACATGGGTCCTGGCGAAATCCGAAAATGTCCTATCAAAATCTAGTAAATGCATCTAAATAAATTGGCATATTATTCTATGGAATCGGACAATAGACCGGCGCAGCCGCAAAAACAACACCGGCATGTTTCCTGACATTCTTCACTGCATCTAATAATAATATTGTAGGTACTCGTAATAATTTATATTATCACCTTTCTGATAAAAATAATATTTATCATCTATTTAATTATGTACACTGTGTGGCTGCGAGCACTGATCGAGCCACTCGCGTGCGTAAACGGTTACTTGAATTTGAGCGAGCGACGAAAGGTTTGGCTCAAACTCGTTTTGTCATATTATTCGAACGGCTTTTTCACGTTCCTGAGCCGATTATAGTGCTTCTGTATTGAATTATTATTTTATTTTTAAAATAATAACTTCGTCGAGTATAAAGCATGTCAATTTTAGAAATATACAGATGTACCTACGACTTACCTAACTGAATACTATGATGTAACGATGTAATTATGAAATCAGGTTAACAATTACTTATTATAGGTATTAATTTATTTTATCGTTATTACATTAAATTAACTAAATAATAAGTAGGTACATACAATTTTAAGTGTACGCTAATAATATAATAATTTATAGTGTAGGCATTAAAATATTTGATATTTTATTGTACGGCCTTTTACTATAACTTATTATTGGCCATTTTAAAGTAAAACTGATTCTGAATAAAAAAAAAACCAGATGTTACGATAACTCGATAATGAACGACTGTCAACTGAATTTAATTCTTGTGAACAAATTTGAGCCCGTTGAAAAAAACGGAGCAAATACAGAAAAATTTACGAAATGTAGGTATTAGTTGAACAATATTACGGCCTCTTTTTTCCTGTAAATAACTTTTCTACCAGCAAGTTTGCTCCAATTAACAATGATAGCACTTTTTCTGAAAGAAAATCGGACCAGGAATTTTTTTATTTTTCTAGAAGTTTTCCTAATAAATTTAAAAAACGTAGGAATAACGGGAAAATAAGTACAACGTTAAACAAATATTTTTAAAGAACATATTTAATGCCTATGTAATTCTTTTAATTTGATATGACATATATTGTTGACAAAGCAATAGTTTTTAGTAGTCTCAGAATAGTTTTTTTGTTAGCAACGATTAATCATTGCGTACAGATATACATTAAATTCCCCCTCTACCTTTCCAACTTCTCACCTACAATAGTGGCTCACCCACGTGCGAAGTATGCCGGTGTTTTTTTTTCTATACTTCTACCTAGTCAGCACGAAAATTTCTGAGCATTGGATTATTTTTGTAGCACAGACAAAAATAGAATTTTAAAAATTAAGTATTGATATCGTATATTTTTTACTCGATATTTTATGTAGTTGGGTCGCCTTTTTGGGGGGCTAAGCCCCTATTCCCCTATGTATACTCATTTATACGAAACATTTAACGAAGAAACTTCTTCGTTCTTGAACAAACAGCTAGCGCTTGAATGTGGATTGTGACAAGTTTTGTACTATAGTCTGGCTCACGAAGAGTGGAGCCATGAAAAAAGCGCTACCAGTAGCAATTTCCGATCAGGGGGGCTAAATAATTTATATCACGAATAAAGATATATCAATTCGAGATTTATACCACCATAAATGCATGAATTAATATTATACTAGTAAATTATAATTTATATTAAATAGATATCTAGTGCCACTTGCCAGCATAACCTACTTTCATTGTTTATGTTCCCTTTCGTAAATTATAGTTTAAACATCAGAATTAATAATTAAATCCATTAAGCACAAACATGCATTATTTTACTAATTGAAATACTTTTTTTTTTGTATGACCATCGTTTAATATTATTACGAGTTAATTTGTTTTACAAATTTTATTTTTTTTATTTTACTTTTTTAGTTTTGAAAATTATAATCCGTACAACATATTATATACTTACCTACATAATATTATTATACCTTTATATTTTTGTTGGTATCTACATTGATATGATATAGAGGGTAGAGCAGCGTTTCTCAACCGAATGTACGCGGACCTCGATAGGGTATTAGGAGGTTGCGGACGAATTGAGGTCAATATTATAATATATCAAATGCAGACACGGGTATCGTTATCAAAATACTAATTGCGGACATCAAGTTAAGTGAACCTAACGATGCGAGTTGCGGACACAAAAATTGATGGGTGGGTTAAAAATATTTGTCTAATAGTTAAAAAAATAATTTAAATAGTTTTTAAATTCTCATGCAGTGGAAACAGAATTTAAAACCGTCAACCACGCGTAACTTTTTAAGTTTTTCACTTTGAATTTCGCTAATATTTAATAAACACCGAAGGATATTTAAACGGTGTGGTTAGGTTAGGTTAGGTAACTTAACCTAACCTAACCAGACACGATTAAGGTCGTCGTTAAACTGATAATAGTTTTTGGCAGTCGTCTCAAAAGCTTAACTCACAATCTTAAGAGGACGTTATACTCGCATCTACTGTCCCAGTTCAACTACTGCGTAACATACATAAAAAATACTTACGCAGAATGAGTAAGACTAACTTTATTTTGATTTAAGTGTAAAAGTACTAATTATGAAATCCATAGAGAACAATATTTTGGAGGGAATGACGTTGGCGTTTTACGAATTATAAACTATAAAAAAAGCAAAAACATAATGGTTTTCGTAGCTTTTATAACGAGCGGTATATTTTGAATAATACTTAATTAGGCATAATAGTATAAATGTCAAATTTAATGCTGATAAATAATTAGTCCAGTAGAGTCAATCATATTATGTACACTAATAATCGATATCCAACATAATCGTTAGGTCAAAAATTCCACAGGTAG